TCGTAAAAAGCACCTTTAATCGGCTGGCCACGCACGTCCTCCAATAAATATGAAATTGGATCTGTTATTTTCACTTTAACGATTTTAAACAATTCAGCGGTTCAGTTGGGTAGATATCCTTTATTAAACACATGTTTATATTTACTGATACGAACGGTATCTCCAACTCTAAACTTTCCTCTGCCGACAATTTTAATATGATTTGTACACCGTATCGAGAAGTGTTTTCTCTACGGATATACAAATTGTAATAATTGAACAATTATAAATTCGCTCAGACGGCTCCCTTTGTCATCTACGCCGACTTTGAATCGCTTTTAAAACCGATCGATTATTGTAAACAGAGTAGCGCTAAGTCTTTTACGGAAAAAATTAAGGAACATCAACCGTACAGTTTTGCTTATTACATTGTTTCCACGATTGATGGCAGTTTTAATAAATTTGAAACGTATACGGGGCTTGATGCATCTCAAGTTTTTATCACAAAATTAATCGATGATGTTAAATTTATTTATAATAAATATAATAAGAAGACCGTAAAACCAATGTTACTTTTAACAACCGATGAGCAACGTAATTTCGATTCGGCTGAAAATTGTTTTATTTGTCAAAATCCTTTCACATCATTCTTTCATATCATTTTTTTAAGTGTTAAATTTAAATTTTTAATATATGTATTAACTTTAATTTTTTGTTATTTTCTCTTCCTCCTCCTACCCTCAATCAGTAATAGAGAACCTATTTTAAAGTAAGTATTATTATTATTAATATTATTTCACGGGGGAGCAACTTAAAACTTAAAAATTATTTAGAAGTTTTAACCGTTTTACAAAACAAATTGGCCCTTTCCCCACATGATTCAAAGCGATGTATCATCACATTTTACAATTATTTCGAATAACGTTTAAATATATTTAAGTAGGTTAAGTATGTTACAGTTTCTTTTTCCTTATTTCTTTTCTTACTTTGGATTCTTCATTTTCAAATAATAAATCCAGATGTTCGGTTTTGTTTTGTTTTGTTTCAGCAACGTTACCGAGAGTTTCCGTTCTTACTTATCCTTATCCCTAGTTTCACTATTACTTTATAGAGGGCTTTTAAGAAACACGATATTTTTATTTAAAAATTTTATTATCACGGTATTTTTCGAGTTTTTTTTTTTGTTTTCGTTTATAAATACGGACGAGTTCCGGAAATCGCTCTCTTTTTCTGCAATCGAGTGCGCCGAGAAAATATTCGAGTTAGTGAATTTTAAATAGACGATAAGACATTTTGGAATTTTTTTTTGAAATTTGGATTTTGGGGTCTTTGTCTATACTCGCAATTAGCGGATTAATCACGAAACTTCGATTAAATTTTGGAATAAATTGATTGTTCCGAATTTCGGTTGTTTGCCGGATTTATTAACATATTTTCAGTAAACGTTTTGGCGTGAACCTCGACCAACTGAGGTAAGGGTCGTTCATTTTTAAAAAAAAAAAAAAAATTAACTTAAATTTAATTCGGGTAATATATTCAGGTTCTTTTTGTGGGGAGAGGAAAACTCTGGAACATTTTGTTGGGAGGACAAAAATTTTCCAATTTAAGGCAACGCCTGTTAACAACACCTGAAAGAGAATTGGAATTATATAATTTGATTCCTGATATCAAACCATTGATCCTTACCATCTCGAGGAGCGTTGCTGAGGACCGGACTTCTATTTTCTACTCCGAAGGATAAAATCTTCGTTTGAGGGATTCAACTACCGAAGACAAGGTCAGACAAAATTTGCATAACGAAAAGAGTGGAGTCACTTACTTTCACCTCCCTCTGCTGTATTTTAAGCCCTTCAGGCTCCTGGAAACTAGTACTTATATTATAATCAAGTCGATTAATATTTATCGTATATTGTTTTGGTCTCGTTTATGTTTCCTTTTAATTTCAAAAGTCTAATTTTGTTCATTAATTTAAAGTAATTTGTAATTTTGATTTAGTATTGATATACACCCTTTTTTTATATACTTGTTCATAGTGGTACTTTGTTTTGATACTTTAGTTTGTTGACCTAAGCAAAAAAAAAGGAAAAGGTTAGAGAAAGGGTTATTTTTTTTTTTAAATGCTAGTTTACCTTTTTTTGATTTTACACATTTTGTAAAAGAAGCTTTATTTGGGATAGACTTTGTTTGATTTTGATTTTAATTTACACATTAACTTGCTTCGAAACCAAGAGCTCTGGGTGACAGATCAGGTTAGGTTTTGTCGTGGTCAATTTTGAGGTTAGGATTTTTTTTTTACCCAAATTAGTTTCTTCTTAGATTGAAAATTATATTTTTTTTTAATTATTATTATTATACTTTTTTTAATTTTGATATTTTTTTTTTGGTTTCTATGGTATATTTCTTTTATTAAATTATACATTTTGAAACTTACCTAACTGGATTTATTATTAGTTAATATCTTTCTTGTTTACTATTTTCTTTTTGTGCCACTTGCACTATTAGATCTTTTCACATTTTTTTTTATCACTACTCTTCCCGTTCAGAGCCAGTTGCGGATTGTCGGATCGGGTGGCGCCAAAAATAAATCGAATCCTCCCTCCTCCGAAAGAGTTAAGCCGGGGAGTTCGCAACAAAACCGGGGTCGTGAAAAGAATCTTTTAGTAATAAAACACTATTTTTTTTTTATATTAATATTTTTTTTTTTGGCGTTACAAATTGGCGCCCAACGTGGGGCCTTCAAAAAAAATTAGGTGACGTGGGCCCCATAGGGAAAAGGCCATACAGGGAACAAGAATCGCCAGCAAAATATTTTCTTGCGGTCGTGTTGTAGATAGATTACTTGAAATACACTTGCGCGTTGTCCGTTCCCTTCGATTATTTTCTTATCTGGAAAGGAAATCGGGATTAGATTTGTCGACAGTTATCGGGAAATATGGAAGGAAAATTTGAGGTCGGGAGATTGACGGCCGACATGTTGCGCTATGAGTTGCGGGTTCGCGGGGTCACGCCGGCCACGAATTGCGACGAAATGCGACAGACCTTGCGCAAGCTTATAAAACTTGAGCGCAATAAGAGTTTTCGTTTGCCGAAAAATCCAATAGCGTACGATGAGGACGAGGAGGCGGTTCGGACCGGTATCGAAAAGTACCACGGACAAATCGAGGCACTAGGGGCCATAGTAAGTGGCAGTGCTGAATTTAAAAAGATCGCTACGCGTTTGCAACATTTAATTGGTAGGGCTAATCGAGCTAACGCGACCGAGGACGAGGAACGCGAAACCATTTCAAAATACGTGGGGGAAATTGTCTCATTGCGGGGAACCGCGGCGGTTGAATCGATGGAATCGTCCACCGGCATTGGTGGTTTTAGCGGAGAATCGGCGGTGACGTCCGGGGACGATGACGTAGTTACTGATAAGCGCGCGATGTCAGTAATGAAGAGACGGTCGGAGGTCTCTTAGCGCGTTCCTCGAGAGAGTGAATGAGTTGAGGGTGGCTCGTGGTGTTTCGAAGGCGGTTTTATTCACTTCGGCTGTGGATTTATTCACGGGTTCCGCATTAGTATGGTACCGAGCGAATCGCGATAAGTATACGACTTGGGAAGAAATCGTTGAGGGACTAAAATTTGAGTTTCAACCCGTCGATTACGATGAAAGGTTAATAGAGGAAATCAAACGACGTACGCAGGGACCTTCTGAAAGTATAGGAATGTACGTCGCGGTCATGAAAAATTTATTCTCGCGGTTGGGGACAAATATTACGGAATTGGCACAAGTAAAGATTATCGTAAAGAATTTAACACCCTCGTTTCAGCGACAATTGGCCCTCGTGGAAATTAAGTCCGTAGATCAATTACTACAGCTTGGCCGAAAGTTAGAGGCGACTCGGACTGCCGTTAACGATTATGTTCCTCCTACAAGGATGAACAAAACTTTGGAACCGGATTTGGCTTACGTGTCGGTCGACGTGGACGTGGCGGCGGCGCCAGTGTTAACTGAGTCGGTGACTCGTACGACAGGGTTGAAATCGGGTGCGTGTTGGAATTGCGGAGTTATCGGGCATAGGGCCCAAACATGTCGCGCACCCAAGCGTAGGCACTGTTATCGATGTAGTGCACCCGGGGTTACAACGCGAGATTGTCATTCGTGTTCGGGAAAAGGGGCAGCGGGTCGACGATAGATCGGTGTCGTACCCGTCCCACCTTTCAAAAGCCGATCGGAGTTTTGTTAGATTACGTTTTCGCGTCTGCACGGGACGACGAAAGACCCTATTTATACGTGAATATTTTGGGGAGACGAATCGCGGGTTTGTTGGACTCGGGAGCTACTAAAACGATCGCGGGTCGAGAGGGGATACTAATATTGAAAAACTTAGGCATACCTATAACGAGAGTTAATTCGCAATGTACTGTCGCGAATAATGACCGATGTCAAATTGAAGGTATGATGACCGTACCGATGGTTGTTGAGGGACGCGTAAGACTCATCGAAATTTTGCTGGTACCGACTTTACGACATGCGTTAATTTTGGGAGTAGATTTTTGGAGACGTATGGGTGTGGTACCTGATTTACGTAGGGGGGATTGGTCCTTTTCATGTGAACCTCCGGATGTCACGGTATCGGCCATACAAGCGCGTGAAAGTTTGTCGGTAGAAGATAAGCATCGGGTACCGGAACTTCTTCAACGGATTTTTGAACCTAAACATAAAAGTCAGTTAGGTCATACTCATTTAGTATCTCATAAAATTCGAGTTAACGAAAACGTACTTCCGATTAAGCAAAGGTACTACCCGGTCTCGCCGGCTATACAAAAGATCATCGATCGAGTACTCGATGAAATGATCGCGATGGGCATTGTCGAAAAATCCAGTAGCCCGTGGTCTTCGCCAATTTTAATGATCCCTAAAAAGGACGGTGGATATCGATTCTGTGTCGATTACAGACAGCTGAATCGTGTGACTTTGTCTGACGCTTACCCGTTGCCGAATATTTCGTGGACTCTAGATAGTTTACGGGACGCGAGATATCTGTCGTCCATCGACATTAAATCGGCATACTGGCAAATTCCGATGGATGAGGCCAGCAAGCCGTACACAGCTTTCACGGTGCCGGGACGCGGGCTGTTTCACTTTAATCGGATGCCGTTTGGCTTAACTAACGCACCGGCCACGTGGCAGCGTTTTATCGATGGTGTTATTGGGGGAGATTTGGCTCCTCACGTTTTCGTCTACCTTGACGATATCGTCGTGGCGACTCCGACCATCGAAAAACATTTTCAGATCCTCGAGCAGGTCTGTAGTCGGTTGGTAGCGGCAGGCTTGACCCTAAATAAAGAAAAATGTAATTTTTTTCGTGAGTCATTAAGGTATTTGGGATATATCGTGGACGGTGACGGATTACACGTGGACTCGGAGAAGGTTAGAGCGATTTTGGAAATCCATACGCCGAAAAAGGTGTCGGAGGTGCGGCGTGTGGTCGGTATGGCGTCATGGTACCGGCGATTCGTACCTAATTTCGCGACCGTGGTCTCTCCTCTGACGGCGTTATTAAGGAAGTCGTGTTGTAAGTTCTTGTGGACCGATGAGTGCGAGCGAGCGTGGAGCACGATTAAAGAAAAGTTGGTGACGGCACCGATTTTAACCAGGCCGAACTTCGAACATGAATTTACTATTCAGACGGACGCGTCGGATTACGGCGTCGGGGCGGTGCTGACGCAGGTGATTGACGGAGCGGAACACGTAATAAGCTACTTGAGCCGATCGTTAACCGCGCAGGAACGGAAATACGGGACTACAGAGAAGGAGTGTTTGGCGGTTTTGTGGGCGATAGAAAAATTGCGGCCCTATGTGGAAGGAAGCCATTTCACCGTGGTGACCGACCACTATTCTCTGGTCTGGCTTAACAATTTGAAATCACCTTCTGGTCGTTTGGCGCGATGGTCCATACGATTACAACAGTATGATTTTTCTATTAAACATCGTAAGGGTAAGGAGCATGTAGTGCCCGATGCTCTTTCGCGAGCTGTACCGGTGCTGGCGGACGAAGTGTCGGTTGATCGCGTATCGGATCCGTGGTGTCAAAGGTTGGTACAGGCCGTCAAAGCAAATCCCGATAGATATCCTTCGTATCGGACGGATGGGGACAGGTTGCTTAAAAAGATTCGAGTGACGGATTATCGTTTGACGGACGGGGATGATATGTGGAAAATCGTGGTTCCTCGAGGCGAAAGGGAAAAATTAATTAAAAGGCTCCACGACTCACCTGAGGCAGGGGGTCATTTAGGAGTAGAAAAGACCGTGTCCAAAATCCTTCACCATTATTACTTATTACTGGCCCAAATATCGTGCTGACGTCGTTCGTTATGTTAAAGCGTGCAAGGTGTGCCAACGCACTAAACCTGAGCAAAGAGCTCCTGCGGGGTTGCTGAGAAGTCATAACGGTATAATACGTCCGTGGCAAGTTATAAGTATAGACATAATCGGACCATTACCTAGAAGTTCCAAGGGTTATACTCACATACTAGTTGTACTAGACTTGTTTAGTAAATATCCGGTGTGCTTTCCGCTGCGTAAAGCAACAGCTTCCGCTGTGGTACGTAACCTCGAAGAAGGTATTCTTTTGACCTACGGTGTGCCGCAGATTATAATTAGTGACAACGGTGTCCAATTTCGGTCGAAATTGTATGAACGTTTACTTCAAGACTATAATATTAAAGCTAAATTTACTCCGTTTTACCACCCTCAGTCTAATCCGACTGAAAGAGTAAACCGAACGTTGAAGACTAGCTCAGG